TTACCTCAGAACTTATGGGGGGAGGGAATACTTTCTGCTAATTATATTTTAAATAAAATACTCCGAAAGAAAATGAATTACACACCTTATGAATTGTGGCATGGAAGAGTACCATCCTACAAATACTTAAAAGTGTGGGGGTGTTTGGCTAAAATGGCTATTCCTAGTCCTAAAAAGACTAAGATAGGTCCTAAAATAGTCGATTGCATTCTCATTGGTTATCCCAAGAATAGTAGTGCATATCGGTCTTTGATTCATAAATCAGAACATTCCAAAATGCATGTAAATACTATTATTGAATCTCGAAATACATCTTTATTTGAACATGTGTTTCCAAATCAGATTGGACAAGAGACTAGTAATAAGAAAAGATTTTTTGATGCTATTACTAGCAGTGATCAAGAACAAGATCAAGAGCAGGAGATAGATCAAGATGAGGAAAAAGAACCTATGCGTAGTAAACGTGCTAGAACGTCAAAATCTTTTGGTCCAGATTTTCTAAATTTTTTGTTAGAAAATGAGCCTTTAACTTTTAAAGAAGGTATGTCTAGTCCTGAGGCTCCTTTATGGAAAGAAGCTATCAATAGTGAAGTTGAATCCATCTTGCAAAATCACACTTGGGAATTAGTGGACTTACCACCAGGTTGTAAACCTCTTGGGTGCAAGTGGATTTTCAAAAGGAAAATGAAAACGGATGGATCAATTGACAATTACTAAGCAAGACTTGTGGTCAAAGGGTATAGATAAAAATAAGGTCTTGATTACTTTGACACATACTCACCGGTTACTAGAATAAGATCCATTAGAATACTAATTGCCATTGCATCTATATACAATCTAGAAATTCATCAAATGGATGTGAAAACCGTTTTCTTAAATGGTGAATTAGATGAAGAAATTTACATAGAACAACCAAAAGGTTTTTCTGTTCCAAGAAAAGAAAAGAAAGTGTGTAAATTGGTTAAATCATTATACGGTTTAAAACAAGCGCAAAGCAATGGCATGAGAAATTTGACAAGGCAATTATGTCAAATGGATTTAAAATTAATGAGTGTGGCAAATGTGTTTATATTAAAAACACAGATAAACATTATGTCATTATATGTCTTTATGTGGATCATATACTCATCATATGTAATAATAATGACATGATTAAAACTACCAAGAAAAGGTTGAATAAACATTTTAACATGAAGGACATGGGTATTGTATCTTGAAAATCTTCCAAACAGACTTGCATTGCTAGGTCTACTATGGAATCAGAATTCATAGATTTAGACAAAGTCGGGGAAGAGGCAGAATGGCTTCGCCACTTCTTTGAAAATATTCCAATGTGGTCAAAACCGATGCCTGCTATATGCATATATTGTGATAGTCAATCAGCAGCCAATATGTGTGGGAGTTTTGTGTGGGAGTTTTAGTCTGAATGCTTTGCAGTTTTGTGTGGGAGTTTTGGGGTGATTGGTTCTGCTGGTTTTTAGAGTAGAGATCATCAACAAGTGATGATCTGGTTTTGTTGCTGAAATGATGATCTGCTGCTGGTGGGAAATAATCTGATGAAGAAAATTCTCTGCAGGCTGCTGCTGTTATGTGGATGTTTTTTGTTTATGTTGATGGGGTTGAGCTGCCTTCCACAAGTTCACTCTCTTGCTGCTGTTGAACTGATGGGGTTCTGCTATGCACTGTTGGGGTTTTCCTCTGCCCTTGCACTGCTGGGGTTGTGCTGCCTCTTTGATTTAAATTGTAGTTTTGTTTTGGTCCCTTTTCCTCTGGTTTTGCTGGTTTTATCTTCTTGTTGGTCTCTCACCAACTAGGAGGTTGGAGCTTTGTTTACCTCCAACCTCCTCTTTATTGATGTATCTTTTCATACTTTGTATGGTTTTTCATCAATAAAGTCTTTCGTTTTGCTGATCAAAAAAAAAAAAATCAGCAATAGGTAGAGTACAGAATCAAATGTATAACGGTAAGTCACGACATATTCGTCGTCAACATAATACCGTAAGACAACTACTCTCTAATGAAATTATTTCCATTGAATATGTGAAGTCTAAAGACAACATAGCGGATCCACTAACCAAAGGGTTAGCAAGAGAGTTAGTTGAGAATTCATCGAGGGGAATGGGACTTAAGCCTATTAAATAAAAGTTACCACAACGGCAACCCAACCTAGTTGATTGGAGATCCCAAGATCTAGCTTCAAAGGGACAACCGCGTTGTGTATGACTCAGAAGGATCATTGTGGAGTCAAACTCCTACCCATTTCTATGATGAAATAGTGATATCTAGAGCATTTTAGGTTAAGTAATAATTTTAATGATTTTTATATCTAGATAAACCTAGTGGAGTATGGCAGGATACTATTCATAAGAATCACCTATGTGAGAACGATTCTTATATCTAGGTAAACCTAGTGGAGTATGGCAGGATACTCTTCATAAGAATCACCTATGTAAGTGTGAACTAGGCCGGTTCAATGAGATTTGTGAAGGGCTGCAATTCTCCAGAGCACTCATGAAAGAGTAGGTTGTTCAGGGCCAAAATAAACACAATAGTGAGAATTAAACTGTGTATGGAGATATACTGTGTGAGTTATATTGTCTTGGTTTGTATAAACGATTGAACAATTCAAGACATCATGCTCAATGGTTAGCTAGTAAATCCGATAGTGTCTCACAAGGGAAGGTTCAAACCCAAAAACTACCTATCATTTGCAGAATATTTTCAATTTCTGTACTCTCTGTAATTAAATCATGTTATTGCATTTTCTCTCTGTCAAATTCCATTCATGTAGAAGATTGTTGGAAAATAGGTTTTATATATGCTTAGTTTGGGCCATCTTTGAGCCCAAAATTGAGCAGGCCTCAAATGTCTTTGGGGGTAGGTCCGAAAATGTGACGTGTTTCTTGCTGCATAGCAAGTCACATGGTGAAGATGGTTCGTCAAAACCATTTATGAGTGAATAGGAAGTTGACGTCGTTTTCGAGTTCGTGGAATGGAAAAAAGCCAAGAAGTAAATGTGGGTTTCTTGAAATGGGTTGTCCCACATTGAAACTTTAAGAGAACTTTTGTGGGTATATAATCTCTAGAGTACAATATTTTGGTTGGGCCCCAAGGGGCACCCCAAGTTTGTAGAAGGGAGGAGTTATGGACAAATGGAACCTTGGCTCAAACCACCACACACGCGTGCGCGCGCTGCTGCCACCGTCCGTCTGATCGGCCGAGTCGTGTCGGGCGCAGGGGTAGGTTGTGTGTAGGGTCGGTTCTTATATTAATTTTTTGAACAAAATTCATTTGAATTATTTCCAAAAATTATTGCGGAAATTAATTCAAAATTTGAATTTAATTTTTTATGTCCATAAATGTGCCATTTTCAGTCCACAACATATTCAAATTCAAATTGTCTACAGGTTTTAAACTGCCCAGACAGATCCAAACTGCTGGGCAGTTATCTATCCAAAACTACCACCAGATCTGTTGCAGTTATAACAGTTATCTGTTTAAATTTCGAAACTGCGCCTGTTTAAAACTGTTTCATATATGTTCAGTTTTTTATTGCACCTGTTCAGACACAATATTTGCCTATAAATACCAACATTTCTAGCAGTGTTCAAGCATCGAAAACAGTCGGAAAAAAAAAAAAAAACATTTTGTTGTCCAGAGCTGTTCCTTTGCATATATAATCTTCATTCTAGTTTTAGAGAAAATTAAAGAGAGTATAAAACACAAGGTTCTAGTTCGCCGGACAAATTTGCTTGGAGTGCTACTACAAATATATGAACATCATTGTATCATGGGAGATAGACGCCACATAACCGTAAGCATCGTAGCGGGGTAAATCTGTCTTAAGGATAGAGTGTCACACACTTGACTTGATCTTTTTATTATACTTCGGTTCGGTAAAATAAATTCTGTAAGTTATTTATTTTATTTTGTTTGATTTAGTTTCAATTTATTTTGTACACAAAAGATTGTTCCAACAACAACTGATTTGATGAACTAGCCCCATATCTTTTAGCATACAGGAATCCATAACTACTTTTGAAACAGTGGCTAGAGCTGTCGCTGAGGCCATTGCTATGGTTTGAGTTGTAGCTGAGGCCACAACTGAACCTCTTGAAACTATTGTTTCAGTACAGTCAACAAATCTACGGCGTGAGAGAGCTCCAGCGGACAGCAATGATTGACAGATGGTGGTTACTGGTTAAGAATGGTGGACGGTGGATGGTGGACGGTGAATGGTGGTCGCCGATGGAGAACAACGATGTTGGCTGTGATGGTTCATTGATGCATCTCCTCTCCTTCTCACTCTCTCTTTTTCGTTCGTTGTCTCTCTCTCTCTCTCTCTCTCTCTTTCACGTTTTGAGAGAAAATTGAAAGACTCTACTTTGCTGAAACAAATTTGAATTTTTATTTATTTTTTATTTTTTTATTTTTTTGTTGAAGCAATCTAAGCTGCAGGTTTTTTCAATCGAGTGACATGACCCAATCTGGGTCGTCACTTTGAGGAAATATTGGAGAGAATCTGAACTCTTCCATGGCCAACCCGTAACAAACGCACAATAATTTTCTACTATAACTATTTTGTTTACACGGAATAAAATGTGTCAACAAAACTCTCTTTCATTAACTGAAAGGGTAAATTACACATTTCGCCCTTTATATTTGGTTATTTTTTTCTCACTTTGACATTTTATGTTTCAAATTTTTTTCAATTTACTCGTAAAATTAATTTCTATTAAAAATTAGATAGAAAATGGCATATTAATAGTCTTGTAACATAAAAATATTGAGAATCTGCCCAAACTGCAGTGCACATCCAAACTTGAGAATCTCCCCAGGCTGTCTCCAGCAAATGGTGTTCATTCACATTCACAATATCCATGAGGTTCTATCATCGAAAGGTATGATATGATTATTTTATCCGCTGCGTGATTGTTTGTTTTTATTTACACATGCAATGCAACCAAAGGAACGGGAGGATCATATTAGGCAGTACGCAATGAAAAAACAAAATGTATTTCGAAAATTAAAATACATTAATTAGACAAACAAAACACAAAAAGTACAGTACTCTTTCCAGCAACATAGACAGCAAGGTATAACAATTTGGGTACTACTAGTAGCCCAGACAGCCAGCCAGCCTAGCTTTGTTGTTGTCTTTCTCCTGATTTAAATTTCAAATGCAAAGCCTTATGTAGAGCAGCGACGACTAGAGGTAGATAGATGAGCATACCAACACAAACAATAACAGTCATCAATAGAGCTGCTCCTTGTGTGTATGGGCTCTTGCAAGACACCCTTCCCAACCTTATCTGAATCAGATAAAACATCGAAAGCATTAAGAAAAAACAACCCAAGAACGACGCCAACACGGACAAGCTGAGGAACACCCATTTCCACCACTTCAGACGTCCTCGTCCTGTCTTTTCATCGATCTCAAAGTTTCCATCGCCGTAAATTTGGAAATTAACTTTCAATGACTTTGCAACGAGGCTTGAGAAGAGGAAGAAACTGAACGCCACGACTTCTAGTACCACGAGGTTCTCGGCCTGTCGGGGCTCCGCGTCGCACTCTGGTCGGTTCTCCAGGCTGCGTTGGCCTGGCGTCGCGTACGATAGTCCCACGAATACCGCTATGCTCAACAGTGAATTCACGTTAACCAGGTCGTCCAGTCCACTCTTCAAAATTTCTTTTATTTTCTTTTTTCCTTCTTCTTCTTCTTGCCTGCAATAACAAACACACAAACATAATAATAATACACAGAACGAAAGTGATAAAAACAAAGTCACTCACTAATAAGAATAACCATTAGAAAAGTAAGACGTGTGGCTTCAACGAATCAGCTATAGAGAGAGAGAGAGAGAGAGAGAGAGAGGGGTACCCGTTCATGTTGTTCTTCTTTTATTGTTACTTCTCTATGCGATTATGTATTGTAGATTGTGTTTCTTCTTTGAAAAGAATACTGCTATATATAAAGAGTACTGTTATATGAAACTTGGATTGGTTAAGGTTGAACATGTTCACTTCATTGTATGGTGAAATTATGCATTGGGGGGTTAGTATGTACGTATCAATGATTTAAAATTATTCCTACACTTCTGACCTAAGAAAAAACAATTATCAATAATGATGGGCCCATTAAGGAAAAAACAATAGTTGTCGCGGGCGGAGCAGCCGGCCATGTCTCTTAAGCTCAAATCTCTATACTACGATTTATCTTTCTAATTTGTATGATACCTGTCCCCTATACAAACAAATATGTGTTAGGTACAATTAAATTTTGTATCATTTTTCAATTTAATTAGGATTAGAATCACGTTTTTGTTGACTATATAATTAATGTGAATTATTATCGTAGTCAACAAAATTAATTAATGTAAATTAATGTGAATTATTATCATAGTCAACAAAATTATATACATATATGATGATGACACATTTGCAATAGAATCATCTAGAATGGTTTTATGTCAAGTTCAATTGATTTATGGATAAATTACACAGTACCTTTTTAATAAAACTATACTTTCACGTTTTAGAAATTACATTCTCTTCTTTAAAGTTTAAATTTTTATTACAATTTAATCTTTCTGTTAAGTCAACTAAAAAAAAAAAAGAAAAAAAAAACTTATATAAGAAATTAATTTTTTTAAATGCCTGTTTTACTCTTATTAAAAAAAAACTTCTTCAAAAAAACTTATTAGATGAGTAAAGAAAATCTATAGGGAATTATAAAAATCTATTCAATACATATATTATTATATTATTAAATATTTCGGTAATATTATGATACACAAGCTTTTGTGGCATTAATTATCACAAATATTACAATTACATTTTTTTCAATCAAAACTAAAAAAAAAATAGTTATAACTAAACACCGTATAAAGTATAACTAAATGCCTTTTGAATCATAATCAAAATAAGGTTATAATCAATAGTTATAACTAATCACATAATAAGTTATAACCAGAGACCACGATTGGAGCATATAAAATTTTCTTAAACAGTAAATTGTTTGTCAATTTTACATATACAAACACTACAAGAAAAAGCGTTTTTGGCGACTAAAATTTCATTTTTCATCGCTGAAAGTAGTAGAAATGGCGACTAAAATGGAATTAGTCGCCAAAATTGAACACTTTTGCCGACTAAAAGACTTTAATCGCCGAATACAATGGTTTTAGCGACTAAAAGGCAGTTTAGTCGCCGAATGTAGGGGTTTTAGCGACTAAAGGTTGTGTAGTAGCCAAAAGTGACGGTTTTTGGCGACTAAAATAATTTAGTAGCCAAAAGTGATGGTTTTGGCGACTAAAAAGCAGATTGGTCGCTGAAAGTGAAGCTTTTTGGCTACAAAAAAAAATTAGTAGCTAAAAACTGAGTATTGGCGACTAAAATTCAGTTGAGTAGCCAAAGGGAGACGTTTTTGGCGACTAAAAATAGGTTTCGTCGCCAAAACTGCTGATTTTTAATTGGAACTTCTTTTTTTAGCGACAAAAAAATAATTAGTAGCCTAAAATAATAGAATTGGCGACTAAATAATGGTTTTAGTCGCCAAAAGTGGCCTAAATTTTTTTTTAGTAAATAATTTATTTTTTACATAAATTATATTTGAATTAAAAAAATTATATTTATAAATATTATTTTGTATTAATAGCGGTTAATATATATAAATAATATATATTGCATACATATTAATGTTATGATGTTGTGGCATAGTGGAGAGTGTGTTTTGGCAAAAGGTTTGGAATGTGGTGGTGGGATGTCTTGGGTTCAAAACTTGCGAGCAACATAGGTTCAAATTTTTTTTTTTTTTAAATATGCTTTTGGCAACTAAAACAGGTGGTCGCCAAAAACTTTAGTATTGGCGACGAAAAAAATAGTCGGCAAATGTATAAATAAAAAAAAAATTCACTATTGGCAACTAAAACTTTAGTCGCCAAATGTATAATTTAAAAAATATAAATGAGCTTTAGCGACGAAAATTTTAGTCGCTACAGAGTTTGTTTTGGCGACTAAAAGTGGGTTAGTCGCCCATACCTTCCGCGACAGTTTTCCAGTGACAAACATGGCGACTAAAAAATTTAGTCGAGAAAATCTAAAACCCGACTTTTGGGGACTAAAAAATCACTTTTGGCGACTAAAAATTTAGTCGCCAAATGTTTATTTTCTTGTAGTGAAATAAAGGTAAATAGACATTTTAAAAAATTAATTTCCTATATTAATTTTTTTTTCGTTAGATGATCTAACAGTTGACTAATAAAATGATTAAATTGTAATCAAAGTTTAAACCATAAGGAGGGAGATGTAAGAATATTTTGAAAAAATGATTAAAAATTCATAATTTTATAAATTCCACATCCATATAAAATATTTAATTATTTATTTAATAGAAAATTTAAATCTTATGACATTTTAAAATTGTTCCTGCACTTCTGGCCTAAGAAAAAAACAATTATCCATAATGGTGAGCCCATTAAGGAAAAACAATTGTCGTCGCATGCGGAGCAGCCGACCATGTCTCTTAGGTGTGGGTACGGAACAGGGGTTTTACTGTGTTTAAAGCGGAGTCGTGACCGTGGTGTTTTCACTGTTATTTTATAGTGTTTGTTGAATATTTTATTTTTACCAAAAATCATATTAATCGGATATCAATAATTATATGATCGAATTGTATATTGTTTATACTATTTCTCAAAAGAAAAATTTATTATTTATTTTTTTGGTTATTGATCATATAATTTTTGATATCCAATTAATATCATTTTTGATAGGGATGAAATACTTAATAAATCTTACAAAATAAACGATTTGAATCATAAAAATAAAATTATAATATACTTTAAACAGAGATACAACAGTTACTGCTGCGCTTTGAGCACAGCAGTGATGCCTTATACCGGGAAAAAAAGGAAGGGAAGGGGCATTTGTTTCTGTAGGAATGGCTGATAGTCTCATTTTGATTTTGTCACTTTGACTCATTGATAAGTTTGATAGCAAAAGAGGATGCTGACCAGCAGTTGTGATCTTACGACTGATTTTTGATGGGACATGATTAGCTGTCTGTTTCTGTAAACAATTGAAGTTGATTGCATATTTCGCTTGTAATTTTATTTTTTTGTATTAAGGATTGGTACATTTTTAAGTTTTTATTTTATTTTATTTATTTATTTTTTAAGTTAAGTTAAATCTAAACAGTAAATAATGAAGGTTTCATTTGGGAACAAGTTAATTTAATAATTTTTTTGACTATTTAATTAAAATATGTGCTAAAAAAATTAGTATTTTTGGAATAACTTTTTATCTTTTTATGAAAAGATGTATAAAAAGTAAAGAAAAAAATAATCTTTGACTTTTTAATATGAATTATTGACTTTTTAATTTTTTTAATAATTTTTAACTAATCGACCTGTTGTCAAACGAAAACGAAGTTAAAGGTAAAATCTATATATAGATATTATGATACCTCACAAAATGTCTTTTTTTCCTGGTAAAAAAAAAATCGTAAAAATGATGGTGACTTCCTTTCTAAATTAGGCTCAAATTTCTATACTACGAGTTATTTTTCTAATTTCTATGACACCTGTCCCTATACAAACAAACACCTATTAGGTACGATTAAACTCTGTATCATTTTCCAAATTAATTAGAATTAGTATCACATTTTTGTTGACTATAACTAATGTATACAAACAAGTATGTGTCAGGTACAATTAAACTTTGTTTCATTTTTCAAATTAATTAGAATTAGAATCACGTTTTTGTTGACTGTAATTAATGTGAATTATTATCGTAGTCAATAAAAAATTAAAGGCATGTAATAATGGCACATTTGCAATACAATAATCTAAAATGGTTGTACGTTAAGTTCAATTGATTTATAAATAAATTACATTGATACTTTTTTAATACGAGTATATCTTCACGTTTTAAAAATTACATTTTCTTCTTTAAAGTTTAAATTTTTATTACAATTTAATCTTTTCGTTAGTCAACCATTAAGTCAACTAACTCAAAAAAGAAAAACTTATATAAGAAATTAATTTTTTGTTAAATGCCTATTTTACTCTTATTAAAAAAAAAATTTCAAAAAAAAGTTATTAGATGAGTAAAGAAAATCTATAGGGAATTATAAAAATTTATTCAATACATATATTATTATATTATTAAATATTTAGGTAATATTATGATACACAAGCTTTTGTGGCGTTAATTATCACAAATATTATAATTAGATCTTTTCAATCATAACTAACAAAAATAGTTATAACCAAATACCATATAAAATATAACTAAATACCTTTGGAATCATAAGCAAAATAAGGTTATAATCAATAGTTATAACTAATCCCATAATAAGTTATAACCAAAGACCACAACTGGAGCATATACTTTCTTAAACGGTAAATTGTTTGTCAATTTTATATATGCAAATAAGGGTAAAATAGGCATTTAAAAAAATTAATTTCTTATATTAGTTTTTTTTTTCGTTAGTTGACTTAATAGTTGACTAACGAAATGATTAAATTGTAATCAAAGTTTAAATCATAGGAAGGGAGATGTAATTTCTAAAGCGTGAGGAGGTACTTGTATTAAAAACAAACTTCAAAAAGTGTCAATGTAATTTATCCATGATTTTTATACCATTTTTCAAATTGATTATATAGCATTAATCATGTTTCTTGACTATAATAATGTGAATTATTAGCTTAGCTAAGAAAATGTTATACACGTGGCAATTGCATATTTGCAATTAAGAATTATCGAGAAGGGCTAAGGTTCAATTGAATTTTTGTCACTTTTTAAAACTGAATATATAGCATTAATCATGCTGTTTGTGTAAAATAATAATGTGAATTATCATCTTAATTTCTTTTTTAAAATTTATACATACATGGCAATTACATATTTATGTAGAAGAGATTTTGCAATAATTATTGCAAGAGAAAATATCATTTTACTGCCTAAATTATTATAGAAAAATCAATTTAGCATCTAGACTTTGAATTATTTTAATTTGACTCTTAAATGTTTTTTTAAAT